TCCATATTTGTTAAAAACTAGTGAATAATAATATTTTACAAAACATGTTGATTTTTATTAGATACTCGGGCATCACGACTGCGCCTCATTGGCCGCTCGATCGTACTTAAGTCGAGGCGCGCGCTCACGTGACCGCGTCCGGTGTCGAAAATGGTTGGTTGTCTTGCGTTGAGTTGGGTACTTAAGATGTGGATTTTCTTTGTCGGGACGTGACGGTATTTTTGATATTTTTTTAATCAGCTTGGATAATCTACACTCAGAGCGCATAAGGAAACTGACACTAGAGCTTTAAAACGGTAGAATAAAGTTTCATTTGCACTTCAAATTAGTGAGTTCATGTAATGGCAGTATGTAGCAATTGCGGTAGTCACAAAAAATTCCTACCTACCTTGGTTTGGGGATGGGGAAAAGTGACACCGTGACGATGGTGATTGAGGACCGACGTTTTCGTGTCACGTTTTTTCCATCTTGAACGGTTACCTTTGCCACGATAGTTATTATTTATCAGGACTTCACATTGTTTATCTATATGTTGTACTTGGAATTGTTGTCAGACTCATCCTTTTTTGCCATTGTCTGCAATGCTTACTGTTAAGAGAAAATGCATATCATAGCTGTAAAAACCATTTTTGACAAATAAAATATGTATTGATATGTGGGTTTTGAATCATCCTCGATTTTAGTGCGGGCCCCTTTTTCGATAAGTACCCAAAATCGATTTTATTATGTTTGAAATCTCCCTGCAGAAAATTCAAGGTACCCAAAAACGGTCATTTTGCTTTATATTTGACAAACAGGCTGAATAAGTAATCTACCATCTTTTTTCTTTTAGATTGCATCAAAAATGACAACTGTTTCACAACAAAAGGTCCCCCTACTTGCAAAAAGCCCAAAAACGGTAAATTTTTGTAATATGGATTTTCAAAGTGGCACTATTTTCTTCCATTTGTCATGATTTGAGTTTTATTTTTCTCCAAATTTCACAATAGACGAAATATTTACAAAAGAATTCCCAAAGAAGATATTTGCAAGTACCCAAAAATGGTAACTTTCTTTAATCTATCGTCCTGTTGACTAAAAAAAATCATCTTAAACGAAAATCAGAATATGAAAATAAGTATTTATACACGTGCTAGGTGCCCCAAAAAAGGCAATCCTAATTTATTTTTTACATTTTTACTCATTTTGATTTTTGAAGTTATAGTAAAATCTCCACACATCTCATTCGATCTCCACCTTTCATTGTTTTCGAAAAGTAAGTGGTCTTTTCAAATGTCAAATTCGTCATTTTTAACTCATTTTAGGTAAATTTTCAACAGCAAAAAAATTGAAAAGGAGTAAAAGGTACCCAAAAACGGTAATTTTGCATTATGTTTAACAACTTTCCTTTTTCCGTCATTATTTGAGTTTTATTTTTCGTTACACTCCAAGATAGACGCAAAAATTTCCAAAAAAGATACTTGTATAACTACCCAAAAATGGTAACTTTCTTAATTTTTTCGATTACTGGGCTTTTAGTTCAGATTTTACAATTTCAATTGGTTAAAAAAGAACAAATTGTAAAAAAAATCATTCACGTGGTAGGTGCCCAAAAAAGGCAATCCTGATTTAATTTGTCCACTTTTACTGATTTTGATTTTTAAACCTATAAGTTCTACGCAAAATCTCATATTTCTCTCGAGCTCCATCTTCATTGTTTTCGAAAAGTCGATACAATTATTAGACTTATTATTAGATATTTATTATTTTCGAAAACCCCCAAAAGTTATCTTTTCAAATATTGAATTCGTCATTTTTAACTCATTTTAGGTCAAACGAAACCGTATTATTTTTTTTTGCTTTTAAATTTCATCAAAAATTTCTCTTTTACAACAAAAAATTTCACTGTTTGAAAGTTACCCAAAAAAGGAAAATTTGTTAATAGTCAATATGGATTTATAGAGACAAAATTTTGAAAAAAAAAAAAATTCCAAGAAACAAACAGAAATTTGAAAATACCCAAAAATTGTGATTTTTTTTTTTACATTCATCGGTAACTGAACTTTTCCTTTAGAATTTACAACTTCCGTCGACTGAAAAAATATATCTTGATCCAAAGTCATTATGTCAAAAGATTTATTCATGTGATAGGGGTCCAAAAAAGGCAATTGTACTTTAATTTACCTATTTTTACTAATTTTGAGTATCTAGATCTACAAATTCCACGAAAAATCTCCACACTTCCCGACCAAGCTCCATCTTTTAATTTTTTTTTCGAAAAATACCCAAAATCGATATAATTATTAGATGTATTATTTTCAAAATTCCCAAAAATTATCTCTTCAAATATCGAATTCGTCATTTTTAACTCATTTTGGATCGAACATCCACTGCAAAAAAAATTAGAATTAGTAAAAGGTACCCAAAAACGGTAATTTTGCTTTATATTTAATACACAGAATGAACAAGTAACGTACTTTTTTTTCCTGCTTTTAACCTTCATCAAAAATTTCTACAACTGTTTCGCAACAAAAGGTCTCTCACTTGAAAATACCCAAAAATGGCAAATTTGTGTAATATTGTGAATTTTAAACGAGGGACAATTTTCTTCCTTCTGTCATTATTTAAGTTTTATTTTTCTCTGAACTTCACGATAGACGTAAAAAAAATCCCCAAAAAAACAAACGAATTTCAAAGTACCCAAAAATGGTAACTTTTTTTAATTTATCGTTAACTGGGCTTTCGGTTCAGAATTTACGATGTCCATCGACTAAATCTTGATCCAAAGTCAATATGTGAAAAGATTTATTTATGTGATAGGTGCCCAAAAAAGGCAATCTTAATTTGATTTGTCTATTTTTACTAATTTTGAATATCTAGATCTACAAATTCCATGAAAAATCTCCACACTTCTCGGTCAAGCTCCATCTTTCAATTTTTTTTTTTTTCGAAAAGTACCCAAAATCCATATAATTATTAGATGTATTATTTTCAAAATTCCCAAAAATTATCTCTGCAAATCATCATTTTTAACTCATTTTAGATCGAACATCAACTGCAAAAATAAATAAAAGTTACTTTATACTTAATAAACATAATAAATAAGTAACGTACAATTTTTTTGCTTTTAAATTTCATTAAAAATTTCTACAAATGTGACAACAAAAGCTTTCCCAATTGAAAACTACTGAAAAATGGTAAATTTCTCGAATGATGTAGATTTTTAAAAGTGGGACAATTTTCTTCCATCTGTCATTGTTTGAGTTTTATTTTTCTCTGAACTTCACAATATACGTAAAAACTTTCAAAAAAATCACCAAAAAAAAACAGAAATTTCAAAGTACCCAAAAATGGTAATTTTTTTAAATTTAGGATTAACTGGACTTTCCGGTCAGATTTTACAATTTCCATCGACTAAAAAAATATATAGTGATCCAAAGTCAAAATGTGAAAAAATTTATTGATGTGATAGGAGCTCAAAAAAGTCAATCTTAATTTAATTTGTCTATTTTTACTAATTTTGATTATCTAGATCTAGAGATTCCACGAAAAATCTCCACACTTCTCGGTCAAGCTCCATCTTTTTATTTTTTTTTTTTTCGAAAAGTACCCAAAACCCAAATAGTTTTTAACTCATTTTGGATCGAACATCAGCTTCAAAAAAAATATTAAAAGGTACCCAAATACGGTAATTTTGCTTTATATTTAATACACAGAATGAACATCTAACGTACATTTTTGTTTGCTTTTAATTTTCATAAAAAGTTTCTACAACTGTTTTACAACAAGAAGTTTCCCACTTGGAAACTACCAAAAAATGGTAAATTTCTGTAATATTGTGAATTTTAAAAATGCGACAATTTTCTTTCATCTGTCATTATTTGAGTTTTATTTGTCTCTAAACTTCACAATGAATGTAAAAATTTTCAAAAAAATCCCCCAAAAAAAAAAACAAATAGAAATTTCAAAGTACCCAAAAATGGTAACTTTTTTTAATTTATCGTTGACTGGGCTTTCGGTCCAGATTTTGCAATTTCCATCGACCTAAAAAAATCTATGTTGATCAAAAGTCAAAATGTGAAAAGATTTATTCATGTGATAGGGACCCAAAAAAGGCAATCTTAATTTAGTTTGTTTATTTTTACTAATTTTGGTTATCTAAATATATAAATTCCACGAAAAATCTCCACAGTTTTCGGTCAAGCTCCTTCTTTTTCTTCGAAAAGTACCCAAAATCGATATAATTATTAGATGTATTATTTTCAAAATCCCGAAGAGTGATCTCTTCAAATATCGAATTCGTCATTTTTACCTCATTTTGGGCGGAACATCAACTGCAAAAAAAGTTGGTAAAAGGTACACAAATACGGTAATTTTTCATAAAAAATGTCTACAACAAAATGTTTTCCACTTGAAAACTACCCAAAAATGATAAATTTGTGTAATAATGTAGATTTTAAAATTGGGACAATTGTCTTCCGTTTGCCATTATTTGGGTTTTATTTTTCTCTAAACTTCACAATGGACGTAAAAATGTTCAAAAAAATCCCCCAAAAAACAAATAGAAATTTCAAAGTACCCAAAAATGGTATTTTTTTTTAATTTATCGTTAACTGGGCTTTTCGTTCAAATTCTACGATTCCCGTCGACTAAAAAAAATGCATGTCTTGATCCAAAATCAAAAGATGAAAAAATTCTTTCACGTGATTTGTGCCAAAAAAGCCCATTTTGCTGTATTTTGTCCATTTTTACTTATTTTGATTGTCTAGATGTACAAATTCTAGGAAAAATCGCCACTCATCTCGTTTTAGTTCCATCTTTTCGTTTATTTTTTTCGAAAAGTGCCCAAAACCGGTACTTCCATTCAACTCTCGACCATTTCTCCCCACAAAAAACCACCCCATCGCGACCCATAAACCCATCTCGTGCACCACACCCCATCAATAATTCACCCCATCGACCCCTGCACCGCATCATCGATCCCTCCCGATTTAAACTCAATAAAAAATTCACTCTTGCAGGCCTCCGTGGACGCGGACCGCCCCACCGGCTCCCCCCTCGAGCGCCCCTCCAGCACCCAGAGCAGCCGCTCTTCCACCCCCTTCGCCCTGCCCTTCCCCTCCCTCCCCTCGTCCATTCTCGAGGTGGGCCTCATCCACCCGTCCCTCATTGGCGAGGAGCTCTTCCGCTGCCCCTCCTGCATGGCCGCCTTTCCCTCCATCTGGCTTCTCGAGCAGCACACGGCCCTCCAGCACATCGGCTCCCTGAACTCGCTGGAGAAACCCTTCATCTGCGAGCAGTGCGGCCAGAGCTACAGGTATAGTGGAAAATCGAGCGCCGGGCCTTGTGCTCAGCGCACTACTAAATCGGCGTTTGGCGCAGGTACCGATCGGCGTATGTCAAGCACCGGGAGCAGAACCATCGGGCGCGGCTTCCAGCGGACAAGTTGTTCTCGTGCGACGTGTGTGGGATGCAGTTTAGGTACTTGAAGTCGTTCAAGAAGCATCGGCTAAACCACGCTCTGGAGAAACTGCACGGGAAGAGCGGGGAGGCGGCGAAGAGTAGCGGGGAGGAAAGCAAGGGGGTGGATAATAGTAGCGACCAGGTGTCCAGCTCGAACGAGACCATCGTGGTGGAGGGGAAGGAGGAGGGCGTGGTGGTGGTGAAGAAAGAAGAGAACTTGAATGATGATGCAGGTGAGCGGCTAGGTTTAAATTTAAATTGAGCATTAAAGTGTAAATTAGGAGGGAGCGAAAGTGGCGCAGTCGAGAGGATGCAGGTGCCTGCAGAGGGTAATTAATTAGGAAGTTAAGACATGGTTAATTAAGCTTCTAATTAAGGCTAGAATGTCGTTTTTCAGGCGAGGGCGCCTCCTCCGACGCCGAGAAGGCCGACGCCGACCAGGACGACACCATCGACTCCATGGCCCTCTCGTACCCCTCCGGCAGCATGGACATCCTGCGCGCCTCCCACGACCCCTCCCTCATCGGCTTCCTGCGGTCGGACGCCGTCGACAAGCAGCGCGAGCGCCGCTTCGCCTGCCCCTTCTGCGGCAAGTGCGTCCGCTCCAAGGAGAACCTCAAGCTCCACGTCCGCAAGCACACCGGCGAGCGGCCCTTCGTCTGCCTCTTCTGCGGGCGGGCCTTCGGGGGCAAGAGCGACCTCACCCGCCACCTCCGCATCCACACCGGCGAGCGGCCCTACCACTGCGACATGTGCGGGAAGTGCTTCGCGAGGGCCGACTACCTGTCCAAGCACCTGACGACGCACATCAACACCTCGCGCTGATGCTGTTCGAGGGGCGGGGGCGGCGCTTGGCGGCGGCGGGACACGCGGGGCGGGGGCGCGCTCGGCTAGGCCGGGCCGGCGGCGGGGGCAGACTGCGGAGCCCGGGCGAAAGGTTCGCACAGAAGGAAAGAAGAGAGAAAGCTTGTAGAAAAGCTGCGAAAGATCATACAAAGAAGAAATGAAAAGAGTGTCTTAAATATAGATTTACTAATCCGGGCTTAGAAAATTTGCGAAGCTCGGACAAAGAGGAATCGAAAAGAATGATCAATGCACTGCCGAATTATGGAAGAGGACGAAGTTTCAAAAATAGGAGATAAAAGGAAACGTCTAAGAATGAAAGTAAATTTACTAGTGAAGAATCGATAATAATAATGCGTAAACTTTTTGGTGAGAATGTAGAAAAGTGGCGGATCATCAAGCAAAGAAGAACCGAAAAGAGTGTCCAGTTACGTCATGTGTGGGCGTAAAATATGAAAATAAATTGATAACAACAACATAAACTTTTCATTAAGAATGCAGAAAGGCCTTAGAAGATCAGGCAAAGAAGAAATGAAAAGAGTGCCCATTTACGTAAGAGAGAAAGAGAAAGATGAGAGAATGTCTTAAATATGGATTTAATGGTGAGAGTTTAGAAAATCTACGAAGCTCAGACAAAGAGGAATAGAAAAGAATGACCAACGTGTCGCCGAATTACGGGAGAGGAAGAAGTTCGAAAAATAGAACATAAAAGGAAACTCCTAAGAATGACAAGAACGTCTTGAAAATAAATTTATTAGTGAAAAATCTGGCAAAGACATATCATAACAGAGTGAAAAAAACAAAGGACGAAAGTCAGGATTAAAAACGGAAATTACGTCACCATGATAGAATGAAATGAAAAAGAGAAGGTAAAAAGGAGTCGATAACAGCAGTAGGTAAACAACTTATTTGTGAGAATGTAGAAAACTTGCGGAAGATCAGGAAAGGAAGAGATGCAAAGGGTGTCAATTTACGTAAGAGGGAGAGAGAGGACAGTATAATGGAATGTCTTGAATACAGACGTACAGCGAAGGCCCTGATACAGAGGAATCTAAAAGAATGATCACACGTCGCCGAAGTACGGAAAAGGGAGAAGTTTAAAAAAATAGTAGATAGAAGGAAATTCGAAAGAAAACCTATTTGCGAAAAATCAGGCACAGAAATATTGTTACAGAGTGAAAACATATATAAAGACGAAAGTTAGGCGGAAAGAGTGCTTAATTATGTTATCGTGAAAAAGAGAGAGAGAGAGAGAGAGGACGAGAAGATGAAATGTCTTGAATACCAAGTTACTGCAAAAGCCAAAATATGGCAGATAAATGCCGAAAGAGTGAAAAATGATTATAAAGAGAGTTTAAATTAAAGAATACACAACGAAAAAATTGAAGAAGAAACAAAAAGACCGAAACCACTCTGTGTGAATTTTTTGAACGGGCCCCCAATTTTGGAAGCGAGTGCCCGAGAGCACCCCGTCCCCGTCGAGTCCACAAGTCACATTAAAAGAAAAAAAAATTATATAATAACGAATTACATTTTCTATCTTAGGTAGATATAGTAAGTTGAAAAGGCGAAAAGCGCCGATTTGAAAATTCCAAAGCCTAGTCCTTTGATCTCTGCGTGCTATAGTATATTTATTTGGTGCGGCGCACCCGTTTAGTGTTTTGAATTGGCGTTGTTGGCAGCACTCGGTAACCAAATTTGGCGGTCGATTCGAACCGCGCCGTCGGTGTTTTTCGCTTTTCGCGCCCGACTCTGTCAGCTTTCGATTTTCCGTGTCGCGCTTTTGGTTTCAGCTCCCGAGAACCTCGTAACAATACGATTGTGTCCACGAAACAATGTTTTCCGTCCTTGCATTTTTGTTTTGATGGCTGTGAATCTGAAAGTGTTATAGTTTTTTAACTTGGTTTAGTTGTCGCGCATACTGGATATGTGCATCCCTAAACTAGCTATTAGACGACGTAAATAGTGAGTAAAAAGCAATACAAAAGGACTAAAAATGGGTTCGATATTGTTCCTTCTAGTCATGACGGTTTTAACTGATGCTGTGGCCTTGTTCCAGTATTAATGTCCAGAAAATTCGAATTTGTACGGAAACATCGAATGTTTTATCGATATATATATACCGGTTGATTGTAGTTTTGTGCCAATTCGATGTACCTCATGACATATGTGTTTAGATGGTGTTAAATATTTACGATGTAAGCTGAGTTTGTGTTTCACTTAAATGTTTAACATCGAAGAATATTTTTTTACACGCGTTATACAAGTGTCCATTGTCCGTACGCCAAGAATTATTTTTTATACATAATAGTAAGCTCGAGCTGCTCAATACAATCACAACAAGTACCTAAGGTCGTTTTGATGATGTTAAACATTTAGACACCCCGTGAACGAGCTCCGAGGCGCCCGCGCCCTTGTAAATGTAAACGGTGCCTTTTTCAATTTTATTGATGAAAATTCATTTTTATGTCAGTTTGCGTAGCGAGAGTGATTAATTACTTTACAACCACCCACTATATGAAATATTTGCTGTGATACTGAATCAATCAATTATGACCCACATCGATGAGTTGCATCTTCCTGTAAAAATGTTTTTTCATCCTGAGACGTGTACGGGGCCCCGGAGCGCGCTCTCTCAGTAAAATAGTTATAAATAAATGTTCCTAATAAATGTGATTAGGTGTTATTGAATATGTATTGTTATCGTCACTACTCTATTCTAATGAATTTTCGTTAGAAAATTATCAAAAAAAAAAATTCATTGATGCAAAGGAGGGGCATAGACTTAATCTTTAAATAATAATTGTGAAAAAATATTTAAATGTTTCTCTCGATGTACGTCTATATGCTATTATCTATAGTTCTCATGGTTATTTTTTAATATAATTTATTTGAATACATATACAAAGTAAATGTATAAACTTTTTTTCTATTCGTTCATTAAAAGGGAAGTGTTGTTCATGATTTTTTTTCATTACATGTATCGCTACCAAAAAACTCGCTAGTAACAAGGATTTTACAAAGGACAAGACGAAGAACAAAAAGCAACGATAAATCGATGGAAACTGGAAGTCGTTAAGTCGCTTAAAAGCGACGAATAAAAAACTAACGTAATACTTTATAGTTGTGAAACTTTCCACGAACTGTACAACAAAAATGCGAATTATGGGTTTTTCGGTTAAAAGTTCACACTCGAAAAAGTCTCTCAGACAACTTTAATGATTATGCTTTCTCTAATTTTTTTTCTTCTTTTAATAATTTCCATAACCTCCTGTCCCTTAATCCTCCCCTTATAAGTAAGATCATGAATATAAAAAAATAATTTGAAAGAAAAACATGAAGTATAACAAAAATACAAGAAAAAGAAGTCGCGAAGAACAAAAAAAAATTAATGTTAAGGGAAAATTTTTAAAAAATTAAACAGGAAAGTGATGAGAAAAAAGTAGAATATAAGTAAACGGCGACGACTTCAACAAAATGAGAAACAACAAACAAAATTATCGCAAATATAATTATTAGAAAAAAATCTTATAGGTATATTTGAAAAAAAAATTAAAATAAGATTATGTATAGTGTCTCAAATACCGCAACGTTATATGGATGACGTAAAATTAGGGTACTGTGAAAACGACAATGTAGCAGTTAATAAGGCAAACCCACACACACTTGATTTATGACGGTGGGATTGAGTCGATAAACAACCGCACAAAAGGAACTATAACTTGTAGTATTTCGGACACTATACATCATACACTAAAAAATCGGAAGTGAAAACCCAAATAAATAATGAAGAAGACTGAAGGTGAAGATAATTTAAAAGAAAAACACGTGAAATGTCGATTAAATTAGAAAAAAATATAGGTATATTTGACCAAAAAAAAAAAAAAAATCAGTAAGATCATGAATATTAGAAGTTGTAGATACTTAAAAAAAACCGCAAGTGAAAATCCAAATGAATAATGAAGAGAATTGAGGGTGAAGATAATTTAAAAGAGAAACAGAAACGAAAAAAATACAAGAGAAAGGCATCTCGAAGAACAAAAACAAAAAGTCATGTTACGAGGAAAAAAAACAGAAACAGAAAAAATGAGAAACACGTGACTTGATACTAAAAAGAATCAAAGAACTATGCAAAAGGAGGAGGAGAAGAATTTAAGAAGAAGAAAAATAAAATTGAAAAGGAGTAAAAATAAAATAATATATATAAATAACCGCCGATAACTGCAAGAAAATGAGAACAACCAAAGAAAATTGTCGCAAATATCATTAGAAAAAAATCTTATAGGTATATTTGACCAAAAAAAAAAAATAAATAAAGTAAGATCATGAATATTAGAGTTGTAGATACTTAAAAAACATCGCAAGTGAAATTCCAAATAGATAATGCTAAGTTAATTAAAAAGAAAAAGGTGAAATATCAATTAAAACAAGAGCTATAGAAAAATTAGAATAAAATGGAGGGAAAACAAAACCCAAAAATACAAGAAAAAGGAATCACGAAGAACAAAAACAAAAAATTCATGTTAAGGGAAGGAAAGAGAAACAGATAAAATGAAGAAGACGTGAACTTGATACTAAAAAGAATCAAAGAATTATAAAAAAGGAGGAGGAGAAGAATTTAAGAAGAAGCAAAATAAAATTGAAAAGGAGTAAAAATAAAATAATGTATATAAATAACCGCCGATAACTGCGAGAAAATGAGAAAAAACAAAGAAAATTGTCGTAAATATCATTAGAAAAAAATCTTATAGGTATATTTGACCAAAAAAAAAAAAAATAATAAAGTAAGATCATGAATATTAGAAGTTGTAGATACTTAAAAAACATCGCAAGTGAAAATCCAAATAGATAATGCTAAGTTAATTAAAAAGAAAAAGGTGAAATATCAATTAAATAAAACAAGAGCTATAGAAAAATTAGAATAAAATGGAGGGAAAACAAAACCAAAAAATACAAGAAAAAGGAATCACGAAGAACAAAAACAAAAAATTCATGTTAAGGGAAGGAAAGAGAAACAGATAAAATGAAGAAGACGTGAACTTGATACTAAAAAGAATCAAAGAATTATAAAAAAGGAGGAGGAGAAGAATTTAAGAAGAAGCAAAATAAAATTGAAAAGGAGTAAAAATAAAATAATGTATATAAATAACCGCCGATAACTGCAAGAAAATGAGAAAAAACAAAGAAAATTGTCGCAAATATACATAATTAGAAAAAAGTCTTATAGGTATATTTGACCAAAAAAAAAAAATTAAAGTAAGATCATGAATATTAGAGTTGTAGATACTTAAAAAACATCGCAAGTGAAAATCCAAATAGATAATGTTAAGTTAATTAAAAAGAAAAACGTGAAATATCAATTAAAAAAGAGCTATAGAAAAATTAGAATAAAATGAGGGAAAAATAAAACGAAAAAAATACAAGAGAAAGGCATCTCGAAGAACAAAAACAAAAAGTCATGTTACAAGGAAAAAAAACAGAAACAGAAAAAATAAGAAACACGTGACTTGATACTAAAAAAAATCAAAGAACTATGCAAAAGGAGGAGAAGAATTTAAGAAGAAGAAAAATAAAATTGAAAAGGAGTAAAATAAAAAAATATATATAAATAACCGCCGATAACTGCAAGAAAATGTGAAAAAACAAAGAAAATTGTCGCAAATATCATTAGAAAAAAATCTTATAGGTATATTTGACAAAAAAAAAAAATTAAACTAAGATCATGAATATTAGAAGTTGTAGATACTTAAAAAACATCGCAAGTGAAAATCCAAACAGATAATGCTAAATTAATTAAAAAGAAAAACGTGAAATATCAATTAAAAGAAGAGCTATAGAAAAATTTGAATAAAATGAAGGAAACAAAACGAAAAAAATGCAAGAGAAAGGCATCTCGAAGAACCAAAACATAAAGTCATCTTTCGAGGAAAAAAAAACAGAAACAGAAAAAATGAGAAACACGTGACTTGATACTAAAAAGAATCAAAGAACTATGCACAAGGAGGAAGAGAAGAATTTAAGAAGAAGAAAAATAAAATTGAAAAGGAGTAAGAATAAAAAAATATATATAAATAACCGCCGATAACTGCAAGAAAATGAGAAAAAACAAAGAAAATTGTCGCAAATATCATTAGAAAAAAATCTTATAGGTATATTTGACCAAAAAAAAAAAAAAATAAAGTAAGATCATGAATATTAGAAGTTG